TTGTTGGGTTTTTTGTTGGTTTGGGTTTTTTTTTTTTTTGATCTTGCCATTATTGCTGATCTGAGACTGAGACCTTGCTGACAGTTGGCAGCGTTTTACTTCTGTCTCACCAGCTTTGTAATCCTAGCTCATGGGAATCACTTTGATACTGGTGGAGCAAGTAGGGCTGCTAATGATGATGGGGAGTTCCTTATTTGTGGTTATCTAGTTGCACAAAACTTGACCTTTGCATCTGAGAGCTGATGAGTGAATATTCATTGTACCTACTGTGAGAGATTAAGTTCCAGCAAAAAAAAAAACAGTACAAGCTTTAATCTCTGCAGGAGCTCAGCTTTCCTGACAAAAGTGCTTTGGGGGGGGGCGAAGGGAGGGGTGGAAAAGTTGGTAACACTGGGATATTTTATGCATAAGATATAGCTGTCTTTTGCCAGCTGTATTGCTGAGTATGTGAGCTGGTCAGAAAGCAGACTAACAGGTAGGAAGCATGTGTGTAGTTTCTCTGGCTGTAAAGCTTAACTAGCTTAACTGTGATTTCTTGCAAAGCTGCAGTGTGGCTGCTGCTATCACACAACTGCTAAACTTGACTGTCTTGCAGGTAATATCTTCATCTGTCACAAGCTGGCAGCTTTGAGCCCAGCTGGGCAGGATGAGAGCGACAGTGAAGATGAATTCTCTTCTAGTGTGGTGTATAAGATTGGTAGGTTTAAGCCCACTTTACAACCAGTTTAAGATTAGGTGTGCTCACCACTGCTTGATACTGCTCTGTCCTGCTGGCTGAAGAGACTTGCATAATAAACTGCCAACATAGCCCTGAATGCCTTTGCTACTTACCAGAATTAATTCCTTTAAAGAGACAAGTCCTTGAAAACTCATGTGCTTGTTTCCAAGCCCAGATTCCTGAGTAGGAGCAAGCCTGCTTTCTTACACAATACTTCCCAATTGCTCTGCTGATGCCTATGAAATGTAAGCTTTTATTGATGGACACCTACATCAGTTTGCTACATTGGTTGCTTGTTCTTTCTCAGGTGACCTTGGTCATGTGACATCAGTAACAAACCCCCAGGTGGAGGAAGGAGACAGACGGTTTTTGGCTAATGAGATTTTGCAAGAGGTAACTGCTGCTGGCAGGGTGGTGGAAGTGGGCAGAGACCAATTGCAGTAAAATCATGACTCTGACCTATTCCTTGCCTTATCTCCTCTTTTGTCTGGTCTGGCTGTGAAATTGGCAAAATTAACACTTTAAGAACAGTACAGGAATGGGGCTTGTCATGATTATTCAATATACCTTATAAGTAACTATATCATTAGATTACTACAACTATTGAATGGGAGGACAAAGCCTTTTATCAGTTTGGAGACGCTTCATATACACACCCAGATGAGACTGAACTACTGGATGTGATTACTAAAGATTGAACAGGGAAAGTTTAGATTGGATATAAGGAGGAAGTTCTTTACTGTAAGGGTGGTGAGGCACTGGAATAGGTTGCCCAAGGAGGTTGTGAATGCTCCATCCCTGGCAGTGTTCAAGGCCAGGTTGGACAGAGCCTTGGGTGAAATGGTTTAGTGTGAGGTGTCCCTGCCCATGGCGGGGGGGTTGGAACCAGATGAACTTAAGGTCATTTCCAACCCTAACTGTTCTATGATTCTATAATATATTATCCCAGGTAGATGCCTTGTACAACAAGCACTGATCAGGTAGTGTGGAGAGGTGGGAGGCACAACACACTTCTTACATTGGCTGTGGTTTTGCCACTCTGGTCAGTGAACAAGAAGAGAATCAAAAGGTAACAACCAGCTTGGATGTGTTCATCAGCTGAGGTGTTTAAGTGACAGGATCTTTTCGTGCTGCAAACAGATGAGGAACTGTTAGGTCCATACATCACATACAATACTTTATGTGAATTGGGCATGGCTACCTTATTCCCTTGTGGTGTAGGCTGGAGGCACGCATTTGTTAGGCCATCCTCTGGATTTGTTGGGATGATCCTAATGTGGGCTGCAAGTTCCTCATGACTGGGTGAAAGCCAATGTGCTGTTAGTTACCAATGCTATCTGCTACCAGTGTTTTTATCCTAAAGAGAAGAAAACAGCTAACTGGGATGGTGAAGGCAGTATTGTATGTATATTTGTTTGGCTGTTTCTATTTGAGTTTGCACCCCAACCCACCTTTGTTCAGTGCATCAGGATGTTCCCTTTCCATATCTGTTTTTTTCTCTCTGCAGCAATACTGCTATTTGCCAAAGGCAGACATCTTTGCCCTGGCACTCACAGTAGCACTAGCAGCTGGCACAGCACCACTGCCTCACAACGGGGCCATGTGGCACCATATCCGCAAAGGCAATATCCCACCGATCCCCCAGAAGCTTCCTCAACACTTTCTGGAACTCCTCAAGGTGAAGAAATAGTCTTGACAGGGTGGAGGCTTTTCCAGTTGACATGTGACAAGAGGGAGCGTTAAACCCTGAATTCCTCTGCCTTCCAGCTCATGATCCATCCTGACCCAGCAGAACGACCCTCTGCCATGGCTCTTACTAAACATCCAGTTCTCCGTCCTTCACGTGGAAAAGCAGTGCAGCTCCAGAAGCAGCTAAATGTGGAGAAGTGCAAGACTGCCATGCTGGAAAGGTAGGGCTGGCTTCAGCATGAAGGCAAGAAGACATAGGCATGAGGAATGCTGGTCACCAGTAGTGTTGGGAGACCAAAAGTTCAGAAAGACCCAGTCAGCTCCTTTGCCTAGAGCTGGGAGGGTGAAGGGGCTGTAGCGTGGAGCTGTAGTGCCCAAGCAGCTGTGGTTCACTTCTCGCTTGGAGGAGTTGGCTAAATTAGAGCAGTGAACTTGGGATGCTTATGGCAACCACTGGTGATGGAAATTAGTGATACAATATGCAACCAATGGGCAGTTGAGGAATCCACACTGCACTGAGACAGTGGTCTAGCACAGCAGGAAGAGAAGTTCCAGGTGGTGGCAATAATCCTCTTTCCCCTTGCTCCCTCTCACTGCTCTTGGCAGTAACATTTTTGAGGTGCTGGGATTTAGGATCTGCCCATGACGCCTCTTGACACAACAGTCAGCTGGGGAATAGGTTTTGCACGTAGACAGGACAAAATATGCTCTGGAAGAGTAGCCAGGCATTAGGGAGAAAAGGCAATGGAAAAGAAGCATGTGCTTTTAGGTATTTGTGCGGTATGAGATGACTGATAAAAGTTCCACCATTCACAAATCTGAAAAAAACAGGTGAGGGACCCTTCACAGTGATGCCAGTGTGTTGCTGACCTAATGAGTAACTTTCTTTTGTTAAATATTCAAAGCTGATCTGTTCTGAAGTAGAAACTCTGGAGATACCTAGAGTAATCTTCATCTCACCCTCTGGGGTGGAAAGTTACTAACCTCCAGCAATGTTCGAGTACTGCAGTAACTCCCTTGAGCAAGACTGTGCACAGCTTTCTTCTGCTAGCTGATGGGGATTTTCTTCCTGTACTCTCCCATCTCCCCCCCTCCAGGGAACTTAAAGCAGCCCGCCTCGCCCAGACCCTCATGAAGGACCAGCCCATAGGAAGTGTCAAGTTGCAGCAGCCTGAAACCTCTCCTAAGCACAACGACAAACGCCTGGTGGGAGGGAAGAACTGTCGCTCATTTAGCTTTACTTTGGGTTACTGAACTTGTGTTGTCCAAAAGGCTCTGAATGGCTGCTGAATGGCCCTGTGAAAGCAGAGGGTATGCACAGACCAATGCTCCATATTAGCTCTCCCTGTAGTGGTTTTTGGTTCCCTCATTAGTTAACCATGAAATGTTGGCTGAGGGAAGAATGACTAGTTTACAAGTGTCAGATCATGAGATGATTACTGTCCTCTCTATCTTACCAACTTCTTGTGTAATTTGTCTTCTAGACTAAGAATACCTTTGCTGTACAAGGAAAAGGATGGCATTTCCTCTACTCATTTCCCTCTTTGTTTAGTTGGGGCCTATTACTTACGTTTTTGTAGTCTTAATGCTCTGGCCACCTGTGTATCTTTAGAAGGGAGATAGTGGTGGTACATGAAGACAGCATCCACAACTGGGTCCTCCTAGGAGTGAGGAGCTAGAGACTATGATAGACAGCTCTACACATCAGGAAAGACTGGTTACATAGCAGTCCTGTGGCCTTGGGGTGCGATTGGAGAGGCTTTTCACTGAGGGAGGACAAGAAGGAAAGGCTTTTGAATTAAGGAGCCTTATGCGAGTTGATGGAAAACTTTCCTTCCCTCAGCTTCCAGCAGTAAGCACAAAATGTTCTAGCTGGTTAAACTCTTGCAGACTAGCCTTTGATGCCTGACTTGTTTTATGCCTGTCAGCAAGACTGCTTGCCTGAAGTGGGGTAAATTACTGTGGTGTGCTGGTAGATGGGTTTCTATCTCTTTCCCTTCCGTATCTGACATATGGTGAAACTACCTGCATGCAGCCTTCTAGAAAATCATAAAATGTGTGGGGTTTTTTTTGTTCTTTAATTGCCCGTGTAAAATGCATGTGCGTGTGTTAAATCTGCCCCCCCTGCTAAATGTAACTTCCTCAGTCCTTGCTGGGCGCACGTCTACCTGTGGCAGTCGGACACGAATGCTGTGCTGGTACCAGGGAGAAGCTAAAGTTGGCAACTCAGTTATTTTCGGGTTTCACTTTTTTTCAAAGGTCGCTTTTAGAATGTGTTAGACCCTACCCTTTAAAAGGGAAACGTGCAAATAAAGATTTTAATCTTTTTTTTACCTACGAAACCACGCCTCTTTTGCTCTTTTCCACTTTGCGCCGCTCTCCGCGTCACACGCGGGCCGCCCCTTTCCCACACACGGTGTGGAGCGGGCCCGCCCGCGGTGCTCAGCCGCGGTGCTCAGCCCTCTCCTGCCCCCCCCCCGAGCCGCTCTCCCTGCGGCCCTCCTCAGACCCGCCGGCGGGGTCTGAGGGCCGCGTTTCCTCCCGGACCCTCTTTGGAGAGGACCCGTGGTTTCCCGTTCCGTTTCCGTTCCTCGGCGAGGCTGCGGCGGGAGAGGTGCAGAGGGCGGGGGGTCGGGCGGCCGGACGGGATCGGGCGCACTCCGCCGCTGCTTTAGCCCTGCTTTTCCCTCCTCGGGCACGGCGGCATGTTGCGGCGACCCGCGTGGCAGGTAGGGCTGGGCTGTGCGAGGCGGCATAATGAGTCCGTGAGGGCCGGGATGCGGCCCCGGCGGGAGCTTGGCCCTGGATTTACGTCCCCAGGATGCCCGCAGCGCAGCAGGGTCGCTCGGGGCAGGGGAACGGCGGAGCGCTCAATCTCTCCCGCCTTGGGGCGGGGGGGGGGTGGGGGTGGTGGCGGCGGGAAGCAGCCCCAGCGCTTTCTCCCGCCGCGGGGCTTGTAATAACCCTTTCTCCGGGCACGGGAAACCCGGGACCCCGAACCCGTGCCCCGCGGCAGGGAGGCCGCTCGCCTCACCAGTGCGGGCCGCCCGGCTCGGAGGATCGCTCCCCTCTGGGGCGGGGCCTCGGTATTTTCTGCCCCAACCGGCCGCGGTTCTGCCTTTAGGAAAGAGTGCGGATTCTCCCGTGGGACTGCAGGTGGTGGTTATGTTGTTTCTGGAAAAATATGTGGCGTTATCCATGAAGAACAGAGGGGGGTTCTGTTTGCATTCGTGCTCTGTAAACAGTGCGAATGCTGGACATTAATTACTCAGCTACTGAAAAAACAGTGCATTAAAAGACGTGGCCTGCACATGGAATGATTCTTAAATAATTTGCATCTGCATCAATGAACTGTGCAGATATATCAAAGAACTTTAGTTTTGCAAGTTGTGTTTAGCTCTGGTTTAGCTCTTTGTTTAGCACAGGACTGCCAGTCTCTCCTTTAGGTTTTGCAACCACTTGTAACAGGAGATGGGCTTTTCTTCCAGTTCCTGTATGTGGGTCTCTTGTAGAGGTGTTCTTGGGCTCTTATTGTCTCCTCCTTTCTACTAGGACATTATATTTGCCAGAATCAAGTCAGTTCCTTTTCTTTTTCTTACTTGTGTTTAGCTGCAGCACTTGGGTTTTTGTGGCCTTGATTTGCTGGTTGCTTGGGAACCAGGGGTTATCAGTGCCTCATCATACTCTGTACAGCAGTAGATAGAAGTACATTTGGGGCACATCGTGTTAATTTCTGAAGTGAAGCAGAAAGTTGGTGAAACTGTCAAAATTGTGTTTGTTTCCAAAAAACAAAGCTCAGTGAACTAAACAACCCACCTGCTTCAACCCTTTCCTGTTATGTACTACAGAAGAGCAGTAGTTACCACATGTCCCAGAAATAATTGCTGGAGACATACCTTTAGGCCAGTCTTTTTCCTAGATAGATTTTTAACCCCAGTTTAACCAGATACTTTTAAAATAATTCTATTGTTTTCATGTAGCTGAATGGTTTTCTTCTCTCAGTCCCCCATAAGTGGCCCCCAAAAAATGTACTTGCAGAACCTCTGTGTTTAGAAAATGAGGTGCAAAATCACATTGGATACTGTTCATACTTTGTGTCTTGGAAACTAACATCCGTATGTTCCTTCAGGTGCTTCGTCAGTTTGTAAGACATGACTCTGATGCAGCTGGTACATTGGTACTCGAAAGATGTAAGTAGCTCCTGAGATGAACCTTAGGTGTTACTCTATGTGGTTTTTATCTCAGTTTTAGAAAGGCCAGGAGAAAATTAGATAGGAGTGGTAGCTTCTGAATGCAGTAATGAAGAATGTGTTGTTTCAAATAAACCCTCTTAAGAAGCTTTCTATCTGGTCTTTAGTAAGTCAGGCAGTTTTAAGGGGGGACATAAAAAAGCCCTGACATGGAGTACAACCTGTAAAAGGCATGTGGCTGTGCTTTATTAGTGGTAGTGAATTGGGTGTGCTGCTGTTATGTGTTCTCATACCTGCTTTTAGGCGTCTTGTGCTTTTTTCTCAGAATCCCATGTGCCTGGGGGACTTGTGTGGGTGCTCCTGCCCCAGCATGATTTGCTCCAGGTGTACGCTTTAGACTTTGCCATTCAATTCACGTTCTCATTGTGCAACAGTGATGCTTCCCTGACCACCTCCAATTGTCCTGTAACAAGGAGAAGGAATAAATTGTGTCCACCTAGTCCTGGTACCTGTGGAAAAACTAGTGACCACCTAATTTAAAGAATAGGGTGTAATAATGCTATCTTCTTGTTTTTAAGATACTGTTTTAAGGACATAACAATGCAATGCTATGGTCTCATTATGTCAAGTAAATGCAGAATAGTCTCAAGAGACATTTGGTTGTGTCTGTCAAAAAGATAACAAAGAAACAGAAAGAATGAAGAACATTTAGCTTTCTAAATGAGCTTATTCAGCAGTGATAATGGTGGTAGAGGCACAGTCGACCATCTGCAGGGCCTGACTAAGCCAAAAGTCACAAGACCTTGCAAAATGGCTAGGAGGTGCAGAAAGGAATTTGTCTGGCCCTTGAGAAACCTGCAGACTTACGACTTGCCATGATTAGAAACATCATAATTCACCTGTATGTATTTACTGTCTCGCGTTTCAGCCATGAATCGTGTTCAGTTACTTGGTCGGGTTGGACAGGACCCTATCATGAGGCAAGTGGAAGGAAAAAATCCCGTTACCATATTTTCTCTTGCAACCAATGAGATGTGGCGAACGGGGGAAAGTGAGGTAAACCAGGGAGGTGAGTCTGCAATGAGCAATGTTCTGCTGTGTTTCAAGGTCGTCTGCATATTTGGTAGCACTGTGATTTGTCTTCAGGCTGCCATGTAAATCTCTCAGGTGCAGGGAAATTCCTTTGAGGTCAGTAGAGAAGCTGTTGCATGTATGTGTTTTACTGATCCCCAGCAGCATGTACTGAAGAGAGGTCTGCATATCGGCCTTCCTTCAGAGGAGGGGAACGAGTGTTGAGTTGTAGTTTTTCACTTCTGGGGTTGCCAGAGGTGTAGCAGGTTCCATACTATTATTTATATTCCAAGAGAAGGGGGGAGAAAAGAAGAATGATACATTTTTATTCGTTGATTCTTCCATCAGTCTAAGGCTACAGATGTCACTTTCTAACTTTTTTTTCAATGTGGTGTGTGTGAGGATGAAAAAAATTGTGGTATGAGCACTGGCTTCCAGGGAAACTGATCACTTGGCTTGACCTGTGCTTCTGCACGATACTTCCATTTGGATGCAGCTGAGTGGAACACTTGGTTCTAGTATGAAGAGGGAGACTGAATGCTCAAATCACTTTTCATAATTTGATAACACCAGCACATTGAAATGAACTTCTGAGATTTGCATCAAAAAGAGGATTTAGCATCCAAGTTTGCTATTTTTATGTAACAGGTGATATCAGTCAGAAGACGACATGGCACAGGATCTCTGTCTTCAGACCGGGCCTCAGGGATGTTACCTATCAGTATGTGAAGAAGGGGTAAGTGAATAACAAATGTGGTTGAGGATTTAATGCCTTAATAATCAATTAATGCAATAACTATGGTGACCATAAGCTATGCTCAGATAGAAGTGTCCTAAATTAAGTTAGCAGACCTGCTTCAAACAACTGATGCAAAAGCCTGTGTATCCAGAAACAGAGGAGAAAACAGCAGTACAGTTCTCTGACCAGAACCATATTCTTGACTTTTCTCAGTGCTCGAATCTTTGTTGAAGGGAAGATAGACTATGGTGAATATACCGATAAAAACAACGTGAGGCGTCAGGCCACAACAATTATAGCAGGTAAGGAACACCACACTAAGGCCTACCTTGCCCTTTTAAAATGGAGAGGGGGTCGAAGACCTTTGAAGTAGAGCGTGGCTTGTCTTATCCTCAGTATCATCACCTGAAGATTTTGAGTGAATGAATAGGCTGTACCACTAGGTGTCCTCTGGCACCAGTTGTGAAGACAGAAAATGAGAGCATATAGTTACAAACTGTTGCATCCTTTGCTCACACAAACCACTTGGTGCAGGAGGTATACACTGGGTGGAAGGACCAATTTTAAGGACTTCTGTTTATGAAAGATACTCTATGTGGGCGTGAGTTGGTGGAGAGTTTAGAAAGACCTCAGTTGGGTAGACGAGCACAGAATGGATAGGGAGTAGACTTGTCCCTTGGGTAGACACGAAGAGAACTGGGAAACTCAACTTTTTCCGTTTATGAAGGGCTAAAATAATTGGGTAGTATAACAAACATTTCTGAAGGATAAATGGAAGAAGGAAAGAAGTAAAAAAAATAAACCCAACCACAGTTCTGGATGTTCGCCTGTGCAGCCCCAATAAAACAGTAGTAATCAGACTTTTACATGAACAGTTCACCTAGCAGGGCTGTAGGTTGATGCTGATAAACAGCTACAGGGGAGAAGAAAGTCTCTTTTTTTAATCAGTATTTTTCCTAATGGCTTATTCTTTGTGTTCCATATCCCCAAACTCAAGATGCTTTAGAAATTACTGAGGCTTGATGAAATACAAGCTTATAGTCCTGTAGGCTGGTGACATGGTAGCACATACTGAAAACAATGAAAAAAAAAGGGATCAGTTGTAACTAATAGATATCATAGTCAAAGAATTAAACAATTATTTTAAATGTTTCTGGTATCTTTGACTTCAGCAGCTTTTCATCAGGTTTAGGACATTTGTTTCATAGTATATATAGTCGCTTTGAATTGTCAGCTTTTTAGGGGATCAGAGCAAGAACCCTGTATCTAACACTTTTATGATCTGTTGTTTTCCAAAATACTTGTCTTTGCAGCTTATTTTAACACTAATATGTTGCCTTTGTGGGTGGGCAGGTCTGCAACAGAGCAAAACAGTCCTGAAGATTAAATTTTAATTTGTTTCTTTTCAGATAATGTGATTTTCCTGAGTGACGGTATGAAAGAAAAGGTGTGAGGTCATTAGTGCTTGGACCCAGGCCATTTCATTCCTTCTGTTTTACAGTGCTTCATAATTCTGTAATCATGTATGTAGCTGTAGTTTCTTTAAAAGGTAAATAAAATCTTTGATACCTATAGGGTATCTGTGTGTATTTTGTTTTTGTTTTCCTGTCTGCTTTCTCTGTTCATCATCTGTATTTCTTTTTTGTGTTCTGAAGAGAAAAGGTAGCCTGGGCAGCTGTATTAATTCCTGAGCTGGTGAATATGTAAACAGAAGTTACTCTTTGCATCTTCAGCCATTTTCAAACTTTATATATCCTTGGCTGCCTTAACAATCTCTGTTGGGTCTTGTGGAGCCTGACAGCCTGGCCACCTCTTGCTCTTAACATCATTCTGTTCTATAGGTATCATTTGCCATTTTTGCTTAATGAAATCAGTTAGACAGTAAGTTTAAAGCAGAGCTGTTGGCCTCAACTGGTGCTGAGCTTGGAATTTTCTCTTGTAGACCCAGAGAAGGACCTCTGTGCATTTGTGTCTGTGCCTCCACTGATCACAGCGTTTGACCAAATCAGGTGCTGTCATACACCAAAACCCCATTTTGGGCATGTGCTCAGTCTTGTTAGGGTGCTATGCCCATCGTTTGCCATCAGGAGGAGCTGGAGGAATGACTGCTGTGGCTGTTCTTGCGATGCGTGAAACTGTGTGAACATTCCTGGTCCAGGATTCTCAGTTAATGTAGAGGCAGCATTTATTTTGCTTTAACTTAATTTCATTGTCAGAAAGACTGAGAATTAGTAGTATTGTTAGTAAAAAAAATGCAGAACTAAAAGGCATTGCATCCTATTACATGGAGAAGCAGTGAAATTCTCGCTGTCATACAGCAGGATGTGAACAAGGAAAGAAAAACATTAGAGGTGACAATTTCCTGCCTTCAGAGCTGGTGGGATTTTGTATCTCATCTCTCTCTGAGCTCAGTACAGGGCATGCTTCCTAGTTTTTGCAGCTTTTCCCCATACAGAATGATCTTGTTTCTGCTTCTCTCTGATCATTGTCAGTACAACCAAAAACTTCACTTCTTTCAGTTCAGCATTTATTTCTGGTTGAAGTTAATGCTTTCACTGGTATCCTAGCCCATGTCACTGGCACACTGAGGTGTTAGGTGTACTGAGAAAGCTTAGCTACTTAAATGGGTTGTTGTCCACAGGAAACTCGTATCTTTTTGAATAGGAAGTCCCGACTTTAATTCCCTTAAGTACTTCTTGTTCTGTCTGAGCCTATTGTACTGCTGGGAGAAGTTGTGACGGTGCACTTCTGTAATAGTGATCCTGTTGTGGTTTAACTCCAGCTGGCAACCAAACCCCACCACGGCTGCTCACTTGCTCCCACCTCGACAGGATGGGGGAGAAAATTGGAAAGGTAAGAGTGAGAAAACTCGTGGGTCGAGATAAAGGCAGTTTAACAGGTAAAGCAAAAGCCATGCACACAGCAAAGCAAAACAATGAATTAATTCACCACTTCCCATCAGCAGGCAGGTGTTCAGCCATCCCCAGGAAAGCAGGGCTACATCGTGTAATGGCTTCTTGGGGTGACAAATGCCATAACACCAAACATCCCCCTCACTTCCTTCTACCGCCAGCTTTATGTGCTGAGCATGATGCCTCATCTGGGATGTCCCTGTGGTCAGCTGTCCCAGCTGTGACCCCCACCTTAATTTCATGTGCACCCCCAGCTTGTGGACTAGTGGGGTGGGTTGAGAGGCAGAAAAAGCCTTGACTCTGTGTAAGCACTGCTCAGCAGTGACTGAAGCATCTCTGCATTATCAGTGCTGCTTCCCACACAAATCTGAAATGTTGCCCTATAGGAGCTACTATGTAGACTAACTCTCCCAGCTAAAATCAGCACAGATTCAACACCATTTGTGTTTGATCCTCACAATTTTTTCCTGTTTGCTGAATGATGTGGCTTGTCTTTCATCTTTCCTCATATGTAAGAAGCCTCAAGTGAATCTGCAAAGCCTTTGTTCAGTGGTTACTTCCTTTTCTGCACTCCGCTGTGGTGGTGGAGCTGTATACAGCTTGTAACTGTGTCTGCTGTGGAGCTCAGGAAATGGCTGATTCTCCTCACTGCTGCAGGTGGCAGGGCCACAACTGCCAGAACTCCTCTCAGGACTGAGCAGCTGTTCTTATCTCTGCCCGTGGCTTGGGATGGAGACAGAGCTGAGCTAGCACAAGGTATAGGATTAGGTGCCAACAAAGAAAAACATCTGCTCAAGAACTTCAACTTTTCTTGCTTTTCCAGTTGTTCTAGTTAAGATTGACCTGCTACAAAGGCACACATACCTACCTTGAGAACACACTGTTTGATAAGCAGTACAGTATCTTGAGTGTTCATCACAATTTTGCAGTAGGGTAGATTTTCACAAATGATTTTGCACTAGCAGTAGCCACAGTTACAGCAAAAATAACCAGTGGCAAAGGTATATTGTGCATACACCTCTTATGTCTGCTTTGCTGCTGTGGGGCAAAGTTAATCTATAACTCACTACTGTTGGTTATGAGAAAATCAGTGTAGCATTTGTGTTGGGGGTTTCCTTATGGCCAAATACTTGTTCCATGAGGAAATATTAAAAAATGGAAGTGGGATCTACTGAGTTAAATACAGTGATACCTTGTTTATAACCAGGCAATGAGTATTATTCCATAGGGTCCCTTGGTAAATGGCATTCAGCTTTTGCTTGTCCCTGTTAACCTCTTATGTAAACTGGATTCAGCAAACCCTGATTGCTTGCATCAGCCAGGACATTTAGAAGTGTTTGATCTTAACAAGGAATTTACTTCATGTATTTATGGGGATAAATTAGAAGAAATAAAAAATAGAGATGATTTATTTTTAAAATGACAGAGCATTTCTTAATGGCCCTGAGACAGAGCTATTCTGGTCTGCAATGCAGCTCAATGCCACTCAGTTATTTTCATCAATCTGGTGTAAGGCATAGGAAATCCTCTTCTCCAGTGTGTTGGTTGGAGGAAGACATGGACATCATGCCTGTGTTACACAGCGAACATTTTCAACTTTAATTGATGTGTGACTTATATTTGGGAACATATTTTCCCCCAACCCCACATAAACCAGGGAATAATAAGAAGGAAGTGAAGTGAAGCTTGATTTCTTTGGCTGAAGCATCTTCTCTTACTTCTGCTTAATGGCTCATAATTTCTTTGGACAGAGTAACAGGATGAATTAAGAATGACTGAAGGCTCAGACTGGTAAAGAGTTGCTAGGGTTTTTTACCAGCAGGTTCCTGGCTTGGGTTCTAACCAGGCCAGGAGACTTGCATCCTGGTAACTGCATGGTGCCCTGCATGCAGGGTAGTCACTTGACCCCTGTCCCAGCTCTGCTGTGAAGACCAGCAGTGGCTGTGGGAGCGTGGTAAGAGCCCCTCCAGAGGCTGCGAATTGCAAAGGCAAGGAAGCTGAATTAGTGCTTTGAGAAGTCCCTGGGTACAAGAACTAGGAATATTCTGGTAAACAGAACCTGTGTTCCTGTCAGGGTACCAATTACGTGGTTTTTAGCAGTAGGCTGTCTCCAGAAACTGGTGATCCTACTTCTTTCACAAGTATTCCTGTCAGAAAAGGAATATAATGCCAGGATTGTGGGAAGAAAACTTCACTATTCTCAAGCACACCTTCTATTTTTAACTCTGAAATTTCTGTGGTGGAAGCCTTTTTGCCAAATAGTTGAGTGTGTCTGTATGTATGCACTGAGATTTGGTGGCTGTTTTATCTTGGCAGTAGTGAGCTTCTCCACACAGCAGCATGATTTAAATCTCATTTACTCAAGGAACTGGCTTTGTTAATGCATTACCAGGTACTGGGTAGTGCAAGTAATGTGTTTACACATGACACAAAGAAATCAACTTTTACAGGATTTTTTACAGAGACGTCCTCTTGTGGGAAATGCATGCTGGTGTATGTGACATTTCTTTCTGCTGCTTGTTGCTTTATGTCCAAGACACAAAAATCAGCGCATTGCCATTTTGGAACAATCTCCACAACTACTGTGAATAGAAGTTGGTCGCTTGGTCATTCCTTGTGTTCTTAGTCCTAAATTTGTGCCCTGTACCTTTAAGAGGTGCTAAGTTTGTTGAAGAAACCTTTAACAATGGCTTTTTTCTGTGTCTCTCAAGGTTAAGATTTTTCATTTTAGCTAGTCAAAAGCCTAGCAATTGTTACCCTCTTGGCTCTGTTGCTGTTTGTTCTTTTCTTGCTGGTTGACTTCCCAAACTTGTTTGAACAGAATGGCTTTAGAAGATGGATGGTTATCTTGATCCTGGTTATCACAAGTCAGAAAAATGTCACTTGTAAATATTTAATGAGCCTTTATGCAACTGACCTGATCTAGAACTGAGTAATGATGCGGTCACAGGAGTCGCTTCTGTAACCTGGATCTGCAAGGAAAAAAGAGCACCTTTCATTTGCCAGGCTTTCTGTGATTTACAGGCTTGTATTATTGCTAGCTTTTTTTTTTTTGATATTTAAAGTAAGTGATGTTTGTTTGAACCTCTGCCTTAAAAGCCTCCTCTTTCTTAGCTAGTTCGGTTTTCTGTGTGGGTTTTCTGTATGTTTTTTCTGTGTGGGCTTACTGTTCCTTGCAGAAAGGCAACAATACTCAGGAAAATAAAGTTGAGCTCAGCTCTGCTATCCTTGAGACACAGAATGGTAGAATGTTTTGGGTTGGAAAACACATTAAAGATCATCCAGTTCCAATCCCCCTGCCATGGGCAAGGACACTTTCCACTAGACCAGGTTGCTTCAAGCCCCATCCAACCTGGCCTTGAACACTGCCAAGGATGGGACAGCCACAGCTTCTCTGGGCAACCTGTGCCAGTGTCTCACCACCCTCATAGTGAAGAATTTTTTCCTAATATCTAATCTCCTCTCCCCTCAGCCCTATCTCTACAAACAATAAGCCCCTACCTTTTTATCTTTGTGTAGATTGTTGCCAATTTTTGCACTGCTTCCCTGTGCTGGAGAGTGAATTCAAACCCAGTTCACAGATCTGTGGTGAGGAAATGGTCTTACACAAAAGGAGCAATCCAAATGCTCAGAATTAGATGAGTTGGAACTTAAAAATACTACTGAAGCAGCTCTGAGAGGAAAGTTATGAAACAGAAAAACAGCCTTCATTTGCAGCATGCTACTAACTATTGAAATCTACAATTTAAAATCCTCCAAGCAATACGGGGAAAAGCTAGGAGGATAGCTGGGTTTGTGTAATGTCCTTGCTGGTTTCGTGGTGCTTTCCACAGTGCCTTATTTCTGGTGTAGCATCAGTTTGAGTAGCAATGCATGACACATGCTATTCCATGTGTTGTATCAGGACACTGAATAATTAATATTCTTTGGAAAGGATTAATTTCCTCCACTTTTGTATTTCTTGCTGCCCTGTATGTGCTGCTAATTTTTACCAGAAATTTGCTGATACAGGTTTCTTTTCCCTGGAAGAACCAGTGCTGCAGCACAAAATCTTCAGTGTGGTCCATATGCTGTTAGTTGCCACCAGCAGGGCAAATTGGTCACCTTTCCTCACAAAGTCTCAGGTTTTAGAAGTGTTGAAGCTCAAAAATGAGATGTAGCCTTGAATGCTGATTTTAATAGTGTGGCAGGAACTGGGCAGGATGCCCAGTTACCAGTGTCTGGTTACCAATATTATGTTTTTTATCTGTGATAAGGTCCAAAACCAGATAGTCTGTGTATCAAAATCTTTCAGTGCCAGTGAAATCTTCCAAGATACTTACAAATCCTCAGCAGCACTGTGTACCACAGCAGCAGCTATGCCTCAGTACCAGTGTCACAAGACAGCCCCTGGGGAAGCAAAGAATGGACACCGCTGGGAAAAGCTGCACCCAGGGTGCCTAATTTCCTATGAGTATTTTATCCAAGGGAGAACAACAGAGGTATGCACTGTGCAACTTGTTTTCTAAATAAGGATTGATTCCTGAGAAATGTGTTAGGATGAGAAAGTGCAGCCCAGTATTCTTGGTCAACCACCAGTCCTTAGGAGACCCTCATCTTGTTTAACATCTTTGTTGCTGACATGGACAGTGGGATTGAGTGCGCCCTCAGCAAGTTTTCCGATGACACCAAGCTGTGTGGTTCGGTTGATACGCTGGAGGGAAGGAATGCCATCCAGAGGGACCCTGACACGCTTGTGAGATGGGCTGATGCCAACCTCATGAAGTTTAACCATGCCAAGTGCAAGGTCCTACACCTGGGTCGGAGCAATCCCAGGCACAGCTACAGGTTGGGCAGAGAAGAGATTCAGAGCAGCCCTGCAGAGAAGGACTTGGAGGTGTTGGTGGATGAGAAGCTGAGCGTGAGCCAGCTTCAGTGTGCACTTGCAGCCCAGAAAGCCAACTTTATCCTAGGCTGCATCAAAAGGAGTGTGACCAGCAGGTCCAAGGAGGTGATCCTGCCCCTCTACTCTGCTCTCGTGAGACCTCACTTGGAGTACTGTGTGCAGTTCTGGTGTCCTCAACATAAAAAGGACACGGAACTGTTGGAACAAGTCCAGAGGAGGGCCACGAAGATAATCAGGGGACTGGAGCACCTCCTTTGTGAACTCCATAAGTTGCCTAAACCAGCTTAGTGGTTCATCATTAGATATGTTCTTTAAGATGCAGCTTAATCTTCCTGACTTTTCCCTATTTGTCTTGTATGCAGAGGATATTCAGTACCTTTATTGACTTGGCATCCTTTAGCATATTACCACAGAGCTATCCCGTGTTTAAAATAATCACACTTCCTTCAGATGTCTTCAAGTGCTTCTTGATTCTCCTCTTTGCTGTTCCTGAAAGATCCGCTCTGCCGGGGCAGGGAAGCCATGCGAGGACAATTGGGGTGCCCCAGCACCCAGGGCCAGCACCTCCTGACCCCTCCAGCCCTGGGAACCTGGAGCAAGTGGAAACCACTTGTCTGCCAGCGCCACATGTGCTCACAGCTGTCCTGGGTTTAGCAGGAGCAATCAAGACCTCACTTGGCGTATTGTGTACAGTTCTGGTGTCCTCAACATAAAAAGGACATGGAACTGCTGGAACAAGTCCAGAGGATAGCGATGAGGATGATCAGGGGACTGGAGCACCTCCCATATGAAGATCGGCTGAGAAAGTTGGGACTGTTCAGCCTGGAAAAGAGAAGGCTGCATGAAGACCTCATAGCAGCCTGCCAGTATCTGAAGGGGGCATATAGGGATGCTGGGGATGGACTCTTCATTAGGGACTGTAGTGGTAGGACAAGGGGTAATGGGTTAAAACTTAAACAGGGGAAGTTTAGATTGGATATAAGGAGGAAATTCTTTCCTGTTAGGGTAGCGAGGCACTGGAATAGGTTGCCCAAGGAGGTTGTGAATGCGCCATCCCTGTCAGTGTTCAAGGCCAGGTTGGACGAGGCCTTGGGTAATATGGTTTAGAGCGAGGTGTCCCTGGCCATGGCAGGGGGGTTGGAACTTGATGATCTTAAGGTCCTTTCCAACCCTAACTATTCTATGATTCTATGATCCTCAGCACATTAAATGTTTGGCAAATGAAGCTGCAGTCAGCCACCTTCTTTTAAGGTTGCTTTTACTTTGTTGGCTTACAAGGCAAACATGGCTCTCCCTGTATGCTTCTTATACAGGCAAAACATTAATTTAGTGCCCCAGCACAAAAAATCCCCTAGTCACAACAGTAATTTTAGAAGGATCTAGTATCAGCCAACTATCTGATGGAGAGCCTTTTATTAAGCAGATTATCACAAGGCCATGAAAGCTTTTAAAGTAAGAACTCATGTAGTGAAAACACAATGGTTTCTGCGTAAGGAACTGACCTTTCCAATTTTCACGATCTGCACCTTGGGACTGGCACAATGTAATTGCTTTGAAAACAGTGCCTGGCAGTGCCAGGACACAAGAATTTTGTACCTCCAGTTGGGCTTGCCACAGTGGTAGGAAGCAATTCTGGCACTAGTAATTGGGCTTTAGATGTTTTCTGTGCTGTGGAGGGCATATATACTGGGCTGACCTGTTTTGCAATGACTTAAAACAACTTTGCAGGAGTTCTTTGGTTGGGGCAGTTAGGGATTTTCCCTTCATATCCTTCACCAAATATTATAGTTTTTTTGTCAATTATTTTGTTTTAATCAAACAAAAAAGGTTTAAGAAATCTTAAAGGGACAACCCTGACAAAATCACCATTGTTTTCTGGTAGTTGTTGTGGCTGCTGTGTGCCAGGAAGTCCTTATGACTTGGTTTTCCTCAGAGAGTTAGTCTAGGCTCTCCTTAGCAAGCGCTGTATCACTCAGGCTGCACAAATGTTTGCTCTGTGAAGTGAATGAAAGTGATGTGCTGCAACAGATGAAGGCTAAATGAGAAGTCTAGAAGAGAGAGGATGTACCAGGAAATCCACATATGGTTCATGCACACTAGAGCATGGAAATGTGAGTTACTGTTGAACTGACACTGGAATGCCTCAACAGAGCTCCAGGAGCTGAAACGAAGCACTGAAGAATGCCTGGTTTCTTGAATCATTAAGATTTGACATCTTTCATTTTTAAAGAGCAATGAAATGACAGTGTTGTCCCTGCTTGGCATGAAAGCAAGTCCTAAAATATCAGAATTACCCATTGACTGGGATTGTTTTCACTGCTGGTTCATCAGCAGGCTGGGAATGCTATCCGACAGTGATGGAGTACCCATTGGCTGCACACAACACTGAAGTGCAGTTCAAAGCTGAAACTTTGAAGGTGGAGGGCCTAGAGCACAAGTCATATGAGGAGTAGCTGAGGGAACTGGGATTGTTTAGCCTGGAGAAGAGAAGGCTCAGGGGGACCTTACTGCTCTCTATGATTGCCTGAAAGGAGGATGGAGAGAGGAGGTCTCAAGCTGTGCCAGGGGAGGTTTAGATTGGATATTAGGATGAATTTCTTCACCAAGAGGGTGATCAGGCATTGGAACAGGCTGCCCAGGGCAGTGGTGGAGTTACTGTCCATGGAAGTGTTCACAAACCATGCAGGTGAGGCCCTCAGTGACATGGTTCAGTGCTGGCCTTGGCAGTCCTGGGGTAACAGTTAGACTTGATCTTGGAGGTCTTTTCCAACCTGGTTGATTCTATAATTCATTGTAAAACTTCTGTTTTTTACGACGTATGTTCTGACATCTCTCAAATAAACAGGAAAACTACCTTCAGCCATAACAAATCCCGAGCATTACCTGCTTTTCCTGCCTCCTTTTTAACCAAGCCAGAAGACCAAGTAATCCTGCTGAAGTCCACTGGAGCCCGGCAGCGGCACTGCTGGATGCTGAAGGGACGCAGCGGCTGCCTGTGGTTGCCCTGGCCGCTTCCCCTGAGCGCTCTCCTGCTGCCTGAGGTGGCGGACGAGTCCCCGGCCGGCTTCGCTCTCTCCCGTGGGCCGGAAGCCCCTTCCTTTGCCTCTGACCGGCAGGGCGCAGCTGAGGGACGGCTGAGCAGAGACCACAGGCTCCCGGGCGGAGTCGAGCCCTGCCCGACCCCCCTGGCCCTCACAACACCAGAGGCGGATAGGCGGTGCGGCGCGGCAGCAGCAGTCTTGTCGCTGTCTCATTGGCTGGCGTGCCTGCCGCTCCCGGTCCCCCTGGCGCCCCATTGGCAGCGCGGGGCACGGGGGTCTCCCTCCCGCTGCCGTGACGCGCCTGGGGAGCTCACGCCCACATTCCACAGCTGGAGCCGTGCGGGGGCCGAGCGCCGATTGGGGCGCGGCCCGCCGGTCAGCCGCGCTCCTTGCCCCCGATTGGCGGTCTCGGCGGCGGGGGCGTGGTCAGACGGGGGCGTGGGCGTGGCGTTTTCGCGGGGCGGTGGGGGCGCGGCGCGCAGCTGGCGGGTTGACCTGCCCGCCCCGTGTCCGCACACTCCCGGTGGGGACGCGGCGCGGGCCGGGTTAGGCTCCGCGGCCCATGGGAGTGGGTGGCTCGGTGTGAGCCGGTCCGCCGCGGGTGGGCGTGCAGGGGTCAGGCGGTGTGTGTGTGTGTGAGGGGAGGTGGTGGTGGACCGGCAGGCGGGGGTGTCCCGTTGCTGGCGGCCGTCATGGAGGTGTGCGAGAGCGGCGGGGAGCAGCCGCAGCTGCTGCACTGGGACCGCAAGCTGAGCGAGCTGTGCGAGCCCGCCGACCCCGACACCCTGCTGTGCCACACGGTGAGGAGCGGCGGGCGGGAGGCGGCTCCGGCCGGGCAGCGCCCCCAGGAGCAGCGGGGGGGCGGCGGGATGGGGCGGCCGAGACCCCCCCTGCGTTTCGGGGCGCCGTGGCGAGGGTCGTGCCGGGCGCCCTCGGCCTCCCCTGGGGCGGGTGGGGTGTCCCAGTGGGAGCGGGGGTCGCTGTGCGGTGGCCAGGATGTGCTCGCCCGCAGCCTCTTCCCGTGCCTCTGGGCCCGGTGTCCCCCGGGGGAGCGACGTATTGCCGGGTAGGCGCTGGGGCCTTGGGGCGCTCCGTCTGTGCCGGTATCACAGATCCCTCCCTCCGTGCACAGCACTGGTGGCTCAGGTCGGGGTCTCCAGCCTCTCGCTCCTTGCCCCCTGCCCCCTGCCCGGGCCTCGCCGACTCGCCGGGGCCGGTAGCCCTTATCCTGGCCCGGGCCCTACTTCCCTTGCGGCACCCCCGGCTTCTCCAGGGATCCCCTCGGGAGTCTTCTCCAAAGCGAGACTGTCCCGGCACCGTCCCGCTGCCTGGTGTCCCCAGCGCAGGAAGGAAGTGACAGAAGTTTTGGTGATTATTTTTGTTTGTTTGTTTTGGCTGCAGTCCGCGTAGTTGGGATAATCCCATGCAAATGCGTCCTGTTATCTTTGCTCTGCTGTTTCTTTGTGAATCCGGAGGCTTTTTTGGAAGCGCAGAGATACAACATTATACAGATGTGCAGCCACAAATCCTAAGTGGAAGTGAGCTGGCCCACTTTGGGACAGCATGCATGGAAGGCTCCTCTACCCTGCCGCTTGTGCAGAGCACAGAGCAGTCCAGCTTGGCACAATTGTCAAGCTGGTACTCGAATGGAGACCCAGTGTAACATGGTGGTGGTGACCAGCATGTGGCAGGGTGCCTTGGGAAAGGTGCTGCATCAGGTTCTGCGTTTCTTCCTTGTACCTAAGAGAGGGATGTGTAAATATCACCGTACAGAGAGGGACTGACCCAGCTGTTCTCGTGGGAGCAGGGGTGATTCCACAGAGTGATGTGCGGTGAGGCACCATGCTGGCGCTGTGTGGAGGTGTCAGTGTTAAGTCTTGAAAGGCAACCACGGAAAACCTTACTTGTGTGAGGTGCACAGTGGCCTCGCTGATCCGGGATCGTGTCCGGCACAAGCTCCAAGCCTCGTTTCAGCAGGAAGCAAGCCTGCTGTGCATGTGACCATCTATAAATATTGTTTGGCTTCTTTGTCTTTGAAAGTGCTTGGGATTCTTGCGCAATGTGTATCTTCTGGTAGATCTGGGGAAAAGCAATTATGTATGATGGTGGGTTGTTTTGTGGGGTTTCTTTACAGAGCAAACAGGAACACTTAACAATGGAAAACACTTCCTTCAAACAGCTTGTTTCTTGTGTTTTTTTCTTTACCATGACGGAGTCTTTAACAAGGGGAAAGTTGTGAATGAAAGGAGAGGCTCTTCAGAGATTTTACAGTTGTGCTGGAATACTTCCTCCTGCTTTGGATCCCTGCGATGAGAATGGAGTTGCCACTTTTTAACTCTGTTTTCTTATTTAGTGTTCTCATATTTTTTTAATTAGTGCCCTGAAGGGGATCTTGTGCTTGGGCTAGATCTTGTGGCTGCAGTGACATGGATATGTGTGTTTTCTGTCCTATTTCAAGGAGCCTGGGCCTTGGGCTAAAGTGTAGCCTGACAAAAAGCCATCCTGGCTGTCGGGTGGGTGGAAATGCAGTATTTTTCCCTCTGCTGTTTTCACGTTTTATTGGACATTTAAAGCTTCAGATGCTGTGATGAGGTGTGTTTTGCCAGAGGCAGTGCATAGGTGGTTCTGTAGAAACTTGGGCTGTGAGCCCCTTTGTTGAGAGTAATAGACTACCGTTGATTTATTTGTGTGGTGGTCTTGTTTGGTTGGTTTTTTTGGGAGTTTAAAACTTCTTTAGGCACTTGAAGTCAAATAAAAAGGCTTTAGGGTCTTGGAAGACAAAATAATAAGTTTGAAACAAATTCATCTTTTTTGGTTGTTTTTTGAATTCCAAAATAAGGTATCAGTAAAAAAATAAAAGCAGCTAAATACTGTGGATAAAGCAGTTGTAGTGAGGTATTAGGGTCTTTAGAGGGGAAAAAGAGAAGTTTTCTGAAACCTTGTCAAGTGGGACGTGATCCTACACATGGCAGGGGTGTTGGAACTAGATGATCATTAAGGTCCTTTCCAACCCAAACCATTCTATGAACATTCTCTGGGGGGGGGGAAGTACATGTTCCTGCATCCTGCTGTGCGGAGGAAAATATGGTACTTGGTATCATGAAACACAAGTTCTCTATTTACCTTTGTCCAAAACTTCATGGAATTATTTTCAAAAACCAAAACAAACAAACTCTCTGGATAAAACATCTGTTCTTCTCCTGGCTTATACTTTCCATCTGTGGGGACTGGTTTGACCCGGCTGCTTCTGCTGTGCTTGTAAACTTATTGCAGGGTGTTTCTGAAAAGACTGAGATAATGTACAGATAGAGCACAGAAGGGTCCCCTCGGGTGCTCACCACTGTGCTGTCATCTTCAGGGCTGAGGAGCATGTGCCCTATGTCATCTTCTGTGCTTTGCCCACTTCTTAGGTGTCCCGTAGCTGGATGTGCAAGGAAAATTCAGGGTGGGCTTAGGAAAGGTGCCTGGTATGATCACGAAGCCCTGGGAATACGAGTTTGGCTGGCAAGGGGAAAGAGGGAAGATGACAACTAAGGGGAGAGCTCACAATCAGGAAGAAGGATGAGTGTCCTTTGTCAGTTGCACTCTGTGTGCAGGCAGGTGACAGGGAGAATTCTGCCAGCCAGCTGCTTTTTGTGTATCTTAAGTTATGCTTTAACCTTTTTATGACCATAAAGGCTGTTCCTGGGTCAGGTTGACTTGAAGCTAGTAGATGAGTGTGAAAGTATGCATACACTTAAAAACTTGACCTCTATTTTAAATTGTTCCAGCCTGCCTTAATTACCAGGGGTGAAATCCAGCCCTCCCGGGGATTTACATTTCTCTGTAGCGGCTGATGATTTCACCAGCACTCAAAGCAGTGTGAGGAGTGGTTCCCTCACTCTGCTGATGCTCTTGGCGATGTTGTCACCTATGATGGGAGAAAGCAGGACCTCGAGGAGCTCAACTCTGGTGTTGGCAGGCAGCAGTACTTGAGGTGGCTCATTAGCATCTTCATAGTTCAGAGTAATCACCTGGATGCCAGATAGCTTTATAGCTGTTATTTTTCCAGAACGGCTTAGCTGCCCATCTAAGAAAAGGGGGAAAGGTTTCCTATAGGTGTATTTATGGCATATGTGATCTGTCTGCCATATATCATCTTCATATGCCCTGTAGCTTGTTATGATTGGGTGTCAGTAATACCATACCCTGGCATTGTGCAAGGTATTGTTATTGTTATTGTATGCTGCTTCTTTTTCCTGGCAGGCAAGCAGAAAGGAAGCACAAAGCCTGCCACTACCCAAAGGGAGCAAAAGTGTGGCCAGGTTACAAACTCTTCACCATCTTGCCGCTGCTGTTACTTCCCATAACACACAGGTGGACATGAAGTGGGAGAGCTCTGCTTGTGGTCGTGGGCCTCTGTTGGAGGTGATTGGTGGTTGTATGCAGTCCAGCTGGGACAGCATCTTCAGTGACAAATGCCAGATCTGATGCAGATGGATGTCTGACAAACATGCTGTGAAATGCCAACTACCTGTCCTATTGCTGGATGGGAGCTGACAAGCAGATGGTTCTTATGAGCTTTTGACATTTAAAACCTCCTTATTTAATATTGAGGAGGCAGGTTCTCCCTGGGCCCCCCCAATTTTCATGATTATTTTAACACGTTAGCTGCTGCCTGTTGCTTCCAGATGATAGCAAAACGCAGCTGAATGTCAGTGTAGCTGTGATCTTGGCATAGCAGTTATAGAACTACACCTTCCCTACAGGTACGTAGGGGCAACAGCTGGCTTATGTATTTAGGGCTAACTTCCCACATGTCATGTCCTCAGTGGTTAACTGAAAGATATTTCAAATGCTGAGTAGCCCAAATTGCTTATTCTTTAAGGAGCCTGACTATTGAACTTGAAGCTCATATGAAAAAGTTGAAATGCCTCAAATATCACATTGCTGATGCCATTATCTGAGTGATGTTTCAGCTCAGCAAGCCTGTTGCCATGTCACTGGTGATGCTGTGGGCAGCTCAGCACTGGAATATAGGTGCAGCATAGGCTGGCATGAGCAGAGGAGATATTCCAGGCCTTAGCAATCAAATTACTGTCTCCCTGCAAGAGCAAAACCAGAGTGATCCACCTCTGAAGGTTAGTGTTCAGTGATGGCTTGTGATAGCTTGTGATTGTCGTCTTAAGACCAGCTGTGGAAATGTTGAGCTGGCCTTACTTCCTTGGATACAAATCACCCATTAGAAGCGTCTGAACCTCACTGGGAGCTTGCTGTGACTCATTTCCTCTGCCACAAAAATCATGGTCACTGTTACTTTGTGTTTTGATGACTTCTGCAGAAGTGTTGCTTCTGAACAAGCTGCCAGGGATTGCCTCTGTTTTTCAGAGTACAACACTGGCAATAGTTAATTTAAACGGGTGGCAGTGCTTGACTTTTACAGTTTGTGTGTATTTAATTAAACGTTGTGGTTACCACAGCATATATGGTTGTGGAGCTGCATGTAGCTGTCTAAAATCTGGTGTCAGTACAGCTTGATCCATTTATTTATTTTTGGGGTGGAAGATACTTCATTTATTTGAAAGTGGGGTTTGGCCTGCTGCCCTTTAAACAAGAAAGCTGAAATCTCACGTTCTTTCTTCTCTATACACCTGCATATGGAGGACCAGACAGCTCACTTTAGGTGAAGTATTTATAAAGTCAGTACTTCCAAGGATTTTTGACAAAATCCTCCAGTAAAGAGTGGAAATCTAAAAGTGTGATTTTTTTTCTTGATTATTATTTTTAATTTTTACTAGTTATGTGCAAAGTTTGCACAAAG